AACTAGTGTGTGATAACCAAGCTGCTCTTCATATTGCGTCAAATCCGGTGTTCCATGAGAGGACTAAACACATTGAGATCGACTGTCACTTTGTCAGAGAAAAGATACTTTCAGGAGATATTGTTACAAAGTTTGTAAAGTCGAATGATCAACTAGCAGATATTTTCACTAAGTCTCTTACTGGTTCTCGTATTAGTTACATGTGTAACAAGCTCGGTACATATGATGTGTATGCACCGGCTTGAGGGGGAGTGTTAGTTTATAGATATGTATAGTGTAGTCTTATCCCACATTGGAAGAGGAGCAATATCTCCTTGTAGTGTATAGCTATAAATAGGGACCTCTTGTATTGTATTTATCATCTAATATCAATAACATATTTTCTCTCGTGCCTTCTCACTATAAGGAACTAAAAGGTTATCAAGAAATATAATCTACAATTAGTCATAGAAACCGCATGTCTTGAAATTAAGTTAAAAACTTATTGAGACCTTTTCTAAGAACTTTATACATATGATGAGACAGTAACACAGAACCAGCCTTAAAGTATGAGTGTTGTGAACTTTCCCATAATTAAATAGCACGATTTCAAAAAATTACCAACTTACCGTACTCCCCTTTGCCCCAGTAATTGTCATAAGGGCAATGCAGTTTCTGGGAAAAGGTTTCAGCAATCCCTTTAGCAGCAACTCTTTATTAAATTGTGAGCCTTTATTTGCCAATTTATTTTTCATCTTCATATCTAAGGCTGCTGTGGCAGCTTCTTTACTGCTGCTTATGGCTTTCTCAATTTCCAGTTGGAGCTCCAAAGGGCCTGCATGCCAAATTACCAACACGCAACAGTCATTTGATAAGCACATGCCAAGGAAGACTTCAATAGCAAACAATGGTACAGAACACTGATACTATATAACTCTTCATATAGAGCATACAAGACCTAAATGATTAATTTCCTTCATCCATTTTCCTTCAGATTTGATATATATTTGTTTATACAGCACAATGTAACTTAATTTTAATGTCACTATTAAATTCCTCATGCACGCTGGTAATGAATCTAGTTAGTGAAAAGTCAATTTGTTGCCTCCAGCTCACACATCAAAGATAGCTATATAGTAAGGGGTGTGTGTTTGTGTGCCTCTCCCCCCCCCCCC